CAGGCAGGGTGGACGCCGTGCGCGGGGCCGCTTTGCCCTGCCTCCCTCCCGGGACGGGCTTGCAGAGCAGGCGAGGGCATGGGGCTGGGCTGCGAGGAGGGTGCTGGGCACTGCGGGGCGGCTGGGCCAGGGGCTCTCTGCAGGGGATTCGTCATGCGCACATGTGCCTGCTTGTCCCCAGCACTGGCCGGAGAGCCAGGGCTGCAGGGTGACGTGGGCAGAAGTGAGCTTGCAGCCCCTCATCAAAGCACCGAACTGGGAAGAGGAAGAGGGACGTCACCCCACATCTCTTTTACATAGAAAGTGCCGAGATGTAAACGGAGCATCTAGAGCTGGCATAGCTGTGACGTCTTTTCATCCATCCATCCATGCATGCATCCACCCACCCATCCATCCATCCACGCATTCAGCCACCCTCCCACCCACCATTTTTTCCTTCATCCCTTCTCATGTGCTCTCTCTCTCTCTCTCTCTGTCTCTGTCTCTCTCTCTCTCCCTGTGGGTGCTGGGGTTTCCGTGCTGGCACAGACGATGGAAGAGGACACCCTAGACGATTTTGCATCTGAGCATGGAGCTTCTCTAAGCATGGAGTCTTTCACGCAGAAAAGCCTTGTCTCCTCTCCTGAGGTTGTCACCATCCTCCTCCTCTCCCCACCCCTTGCTCTCAGTGTCCTGCCCCATGGAGCTCTCTGCCCTGCCCGGGCGGCCCCTGCCCTCTGAGCAGAGCTTGAGCCGTTTGCTGGCCCCCCTGGGTGGGTCCCCTCTCCAGCGATGGGCAGGGTCCCTCGCCAGGACAGGGCTGGTGGTGAAATCTGCTCTCCTACTCTTTTTTCTGGGCGGTGAGGCAGGGTCCTGGGAGAGCTCTTCTTGCGGAGCCTTGCTGTGCACCCCCAGGGCTGGTGTGTGGCCGGTGCCAGGGGTCCCGAGGCGGTGCTGACCCTGCAGCAATCCCTTGTGCTTTCCTTTCCCTTTGGCTGCTGTTACAGTTCTCCGGGCCCAGGCACTCTGAAATAGGGCATCTCTGGAGGCATCAGAAACGCTGGACTTATGCCTGTGCATAAGGGTCCTGCTGCCCGTGATGTCCACGCACAGTGCCCACGGGTGACGAACGTGGGCTCTCGGCACTGCGTTGGGTGCAGGGTTTATCTCATGAGATAGTGGTAATTTCCCAGGACAGCCAAGAGAAGATATGCTGAGCAGTAAGAAGGTGTCTTGGAGCCTTGGTTCTGGTGTGGCTGGACCCATCCGTGCCGCTGGGTGGTGACCAGTGGTCCGGGGCTGCCTGTCCTGCCTGGGTGCGCCCAGGGAAGACAGCGGAGCAAGAGCAGCGTCGGGCGGAGGAGGCAGGGGCAGGGGCAAGGCTGGTGGCACTCTTGCTCCCCGTCGTCTCCCTTAGTGCAGAAGTTGCCAGCGTGGGCAGGCTGTGCCCTGCCAGAACAGCTGGAGTCTGAACCCAGGCTGGCTGGAGCACGTGTCCCCAGGAGGCATTAGAGGTGTGAGTGAGGGCTTGGGCACAGCCTCGAGCTTCAGCAAGGATTCAGGGACCTTCCGTGAGGCTTGGGCTCTGCAGCAGCACCTCCTGGTCCACACTGGGACCCTCTCCATGCCAGCGTTTAGGAGCTGATGGACAGAAACAGCAGAAGTGAGGTGCACACACACATCTCTTGGTTCAGAGAATCTTCCCCTCCACCCTCTGGAGCCCCTCGGGGTGCCAGGACTGTGCTGGGGTGCAGGTGCTGCGGTCGCCTCACCGGTGATTTCTCTCTAGGCGTTGATGGGTGAGAGTCAGCAGTTGATATGTGGGAACTTGTCCTCTCCTGGCCTGTGGTCACCATGAGGAATTTGTGGCCCCAAGAGGGTGATGACATGAGGACAGCACATCTGCAGAGCTTGGAGCTCTCATCACGCTCAGCCGGAAAGTCCCTCCGTGCCCATGGGCTTCAGACCCGCTGAGGTTGGGTTATTGTCACCTCCAGCTACAAGGGTCTGCACCCGCCCCTCCATCCCTTACTCCTGGAGGACCAGAATGCTGGGTTGGGAGGTGCCAGGGGTATCTTCAGCTTTGGGTGACAAAGCAACCCAGTATGTTTTCTCAGCTTCTCAGATGTATTTACTCATGCTCCCGTCCTTGTCGTGAGGCTCGTGCTTTTCTCTCGGGCGAGCTGGGTCTCTGTGAGGAGCAAAGAAAGATGGCAGGGACGTAGAAGGATGCCAAAGGGAGAAGCCTTCTGCCTCCCCTGGGCTCTGGGGGTATCTTCAGCTTTGGGTGACAAAGCAACCCAGTATGTTTTCTCAGCTTCTCAGATGTATTTACTCATGCTCCCGTCCTTGTCGTGAGGCTCGTGCTTTTCTCTCGGGCGAGCTGGGTCTCTGTGAGGAGCAAAGAAAGATGGCAGGGACGTAGAAGGATGCCAAAGGGAGAAGCCTTCTGCCTCCCCTGGGCTCTGCCGAGGTTGTGGGCATTGTTGGCAGGAGCAGAAGGCTGACTCTGCTCCACGTTGTGGTTTCTTTCCTTTCTACCAGCTTGCTCTCTCTTGTAATGTGTAGACCACAGTGAGAATGGCCTTTCCAAATGCTCCTCTTCCTAGAGCAGATGCACTGGGGGGGAGAAGAGTGAAAGTAAATTATCCCTTGGGAAGTCAAGGTTGCTCTATGGACAGACCCTTCCCAACATCATCACTGCTTAGACTCAGCTCCTGCCTTGGCACACACTCTGTCCTGCCAGCCTACTGTCCTCCAAAGCTCCAGTTCTCTTCTTTCCTGGAGGACGTAGCCAAGTATCCAGATACTTGCTCTGAACATCCCCAAGCTCTGTCTCGAGCTCTGGAGACACAGGGGCTGCCATGAGCTGTGGAACCAGAGCTGTGGCCAGAGCTGGCCTTGAGCCCGCGGGAGCAGAGTTCAGATCACACCACAGTAGTTGGCTCTTCCCTTGGAGTGGGCTGTGCTCATCCCAACAAAGTTGGAGGAGAAGGAAGATGGTTTGGAAATAAATCTGGAGCTTTTGGGTTTTCCTTACTGGTTAAGAAGTGCTGCCATGGATGAACACATTGTTCCAGGCTTCACAAGACTCATCTTAAGGCTTCTTGGTCTATAACGTATATCTCAAGCCTTAACTCAGAGAAGGAGCCTGAAGAAACTCATCGTCTTTGTCCAGGGAAGGTCTCCTCCGGGTTTGCAGCCAGAGAAGGGGGACGAGAGGGCTTCACTAAAGAGATTTGTCCATGTGCTCACAACCTGTCCATCCTTGCCTTGGCTGCAGGAAGGGTTCATCAATGAGACCACAGTGCAGGAACCAAGGAGAAGCTCCTGTACTTGGGAAAGTGAGCAGTCTTCTGGTTGAATCGCCCATGAGTATCTCTACTGAACAGGAAGACTGGTGTTGAGGGTACACCAGAGACCCGCCTGGCCTTCCCGGCAGGCCCAGCACAGCTGCCAAGTTAGTTGCTTTCATGGGTCAAACCCAACCATGAAAGACCTGGGTGCAACCTGGTGCTCCTGGCAGTCACCAGCTGCCTCTTGCCATTTCCACAGACTGGGAAGAAATAAAACCTGCATTGGAGGCAGGCATGGAGGAAGGGACCTGGAGAGCAGATGGTGCTTGGGAGCATAAAGGGATGTCGGAGAGGCGTGTGTGAGTGATGCTCTAGGGAGCTGGCATGGGACAGGTCTCCTGGAGACCCAGCTCCTCCAGCGCGGGTGCGCAGGGCTGCCTGGCTGCGGCAGGGTCCAGGTACCACGGCAGGTCACTGGCAAGGATCCGTCTTCCGTCTGTGGAGGAGGGTGCCCTCACTGCCACGCCTGCAGCACGTGTGCCATCGGTGTGCGTGTGCCATCCCA